TTAAGCTAGTGGATTCACTTTAGCGAGAATAAATGATACGAATTCTTACCTTGCCAAGTAGATTCCGATGTCATTTTAGGTATGGATTGGTTCAGGAGTTTGCAGATGTATTTCCTACTAATCTTCTATATGTTCCTTCTGATATAGTCATTGATCTTGCAATTTATTTGGTGTCAGACACCAAGATCATCTATATTCATCCTTATCGCATGGCCAACATAGTTGAATAAGCAGTTGCAGGTCTATTAAGTAACGGGGTTATTTTCTCTAGTATGTAACCTTAGGGTGCATCGGTCTTATTTGTGAAATAGAAGGATGGTCCTTTGAGGATGTGCATCAATTATAGACAACTAAACAAGGTCACTATTAAGAACAAGTATCCTCTTCCGCGCAATGATGATTTGTTTGATCATCTTTAGGGTCTGCTTTGTTTTCCAAGATAGACTTGTTGTCTAGTTACCATCAGTTCATGATTAGGGCATCAGATGTCCCTAAGACAGCTTTCTAGAGTAGGTATGGTAATATATCGTGAGTTTTCGGTATTTTTGATATGTTTTACTTAGAGTTTGTGTGTTTCTTAGGCCATTTTGTTATTAGAAATAATGTTTTGTACATAATTCTTGCAGGAAATAGGCTTGGATGCAGTTGATGAGGATGCGAGCTGAAAATTGCTGAAGTAGCCACCAACGGTGCCATCCACGGACCGTAGGTCCATCGACGAATTGTTGATAGGCAGTCGTAGGTCTTGAGCTTGGAGATGAGTTTCTGTAACTCAAACCACGGAGTTCCAGGACGGACTGTAGTCCAGTCCACAGACCGTATGTGGTGCATCGTAGGTGGAACATCAGGGAAGTTTGACAAGTGTGGAACCACAGAGTAAGACGACATACTCTAGGTCGACCCACGGTCAATCCTGCACGTCCGTCAATGATGATCTGAGAGTTGAAGATTCCAGTACCTAATGAAAGTTTCTAAGTGTTGATCCACGGAGAGTACTTATGGACCATAGGTCGACCCACGGTCCGTAGGTCGAAGCGTCATTTGAAACCGCGTCCTGCCAGTTGTTTTCTTTATTTTATTTCCTATTTTATTTAGGAGTTGTTTTCTATAAATAAGAGTTATAAACCTCATATTTGGGGGTTAGACATTATTGTATAATTTTACTATTGGTCTTTTGGGAGTTATTTTGCAAACTCTTAGCATTCTAATATCTGGAAGTTGGTTAATACGATTTTCACTTTGAATTTCAATTCAAGATTTGGGTTTTTATCTATTCTCATTGTAAGTTCATGAATTCTTTTTACCCAATTATGAATTGTGTTCTTTCAAGCATGAGTAGCTAAATCCACAACAACCATGAGCAATTAAAACAGAATGAATGATAATTATGTAATTCTTGAATAGTGTTTATGCATGTATTGTTAATCCTTTCATTTAGAAGTCTTTTAAACAGTTGCAAATGTTAGAACTCGCCTCATTCCTACTTGCCGGACCAAGGAGGTAATGAATAAGAAAAGAATTAACAACAGAGATGTAGTGGATATTATCTAATAGTCTAATGTTAATGGGAGCGAGGGTTAAAACCAAGTCATGCATTGATGTGATGTTTAATTTGGGCTAAAGGTAAGGTTTAGTAAACCATACACCCGTAGCCGAACCAAAGTGCGAGGTGAAATTCCCTACTTGGAGGACTAATCACTTAGGGATACCTAACTTACCGACTTTGCATGTAAAACCCTACGAAAGGATTACTATTATTAGGATTACTGCGTTAAGAGCTTATGGGGAACACATATACCTTAGTTTCTCTCTTATATTGATTTCTCAAACTGATAATCTTGCTTACTTATTACTTAATCAACAATATGCTACTTGCTTACAAACCCCCCCCCCCCCCATTTATTAACTTGTCTCGAAAATAGTTTTACTAAACGGATATAATAGTTAGTTAAGTTTAAGTGTGAACCATATTCCTCGTGGGATCATCCCCAACCTACAAGTTGGGTTTTTACTTGATAATGATCACTTATACTTCTTTAGGGAGGTGTAATTTGAGCATATCAAATTTTGGCGCCGCTTCCGGGGAATTTGGCTTTTAGATTAAGTTTAACTACATTATTGAACTTTAGTCAAGTATTTCTTGATTTTACGTTTTATTTTGTTTTTGTTTTCTACAGGTTTCTACTCCAGTGTATACCAAGTACACGGAGTCAAGGCAAACCATTGACCCTTTACGATCCAGAGTTGAGCAAAACTTTGTGAAAAATGAATAATCAAGGGGTTCACGACAATCCAATTGAAGAGAATCTAGGTGATGGAGTTGAATTGCAGCCTCCAGAGGTTGTAAATGTGCACGCTCAGGTTTATGGTGGTAATCTAATCAAAGATACAGAGAGGGTACAAAATTCGCCAGCACCGAGGTTGCGTGATAAGTATAGGGTTGACTTCAATACAGTTGAATCAAAAGGGCCCATTGTTCTGCCTTATCTACCTCTAAGGCATACATTTGTGGTAACCAGCAGTCTGATGCAAATGCTTACAGCACGATGGTTGTATTCTAGTCTAGCTTCGGAAGATCCATATGGTCACATGGCAAAATTGAGAAATGTGTGCAAGAGTTGTGTGGGACGACCAGAATTGGATATTTGTTTAGAAGTCTTTGTAACGATTGCAAACGTCAGAACTCACATTATTCCTACTTGCGGACCAAGGAGGTAATGAATGAGAAAAGAATTAACAATAGAGATTTAGTGGATGCTATCTAATAGTCTAATGCCAATTGGAGTGAGGGTGAAAGCTAAGACATACATTGATGTGATATCTAATCTGGGGTAAAGGTAAGGGTTAGTAAAACATACACCCGTAGCCGGACCAAGGTACGAGGTGAAATTTCCTACTTAGAGGACCAATCACTTAGGATACCTAACTTACCAACTTTGCATGTAAAACACTAGGAAAGGATTACTGTGTTAAGAGCTTATGGGGAACATATATGTCCTAGTTTCTCTCTTATATTGATTTCTCAAACTGATAATCCTGCTTACTTGTTACTTAATCAACAATTTGTTACTTGCTTACAAACCCTCCCCCCCCCTTTATTTACTTGTCTCGGTAATAGTTTGACTAAATGGATATAATAGTGAGTTAAGTTTAAGTCTGAACCATATTCCTCTTGGGATCGACCACAACCTACAAGTTGGGTTCTTTACTTGATAATGATCACTTATATTTCTTTAGGGAGGTGTAATTTGAGTGTATCATATGGCCTTATGAGTTATTGGTGATATTCTTTGAATTGAATAATTCCCCTGCAACGTTTATGGAGTTGATGAACGAGTGTTTCACCTGTACTTAGATTCCTTTGTGATTGTATTCATCAATGACATGTTAGTGTATTCCAAGACTCAGGTAGGATCATGTTCACCATTTGAGGATAGTGCTTCATAACTTGAAGAAGGACATGTTGTATACAAAATTCTCCAAGTGAGAGTTCCATCTTGATTTAGTGGCATTCTTGGGACACATGGTGTCTAAGGAGGGTATTAGAATGGAGCCAGCCAAGATTGAGGCGGCTAGAGGTTGGACAAGACCTATTTCTCCTATTGAGATTCGTAGTATTATGGGCTTGACGGTATACTACAGGCGGTTTGTGCAGGGTTTATCTACTATTGCGGTCCCATTGACAAGATTGACTTAGAAGAGTTTAGGTTTCCAGTGTGAGGCGAGTTTTCCAAAGCTCAAGACTTTATTGACTTCGTCTCTTATGTTGACTTTACCTAATGAGGGTGGGGGCTTTACTGTGTATTGTGATTCTTCAGGACATAGTCTAGGTGGACTATTGATACAAAAGGTTAAAGTAATTGCTTATGCTTCGAGATTGTTGAAGACTCATGAGAAGAACTATCCTACCCACGACATGGAGTTGGTGACAATGGTCTTTGTGCTTATGTTTTGGCGTCACTACTTATATGGTGTTCATTGCAAGGTCTTCATCTATCATAGGAGCCTTCAGTAAATGTTCACTCAGAGGGATCTGAACTTGAGGAACCGTAGGTGGCTTGAGTTTTCGAAGGACTACGACATGACTATCTTGTATTACCCATGGAAGGCCAATATTGTAGCGGATGCACTGAGTAGGAAGATTTCTTGCATGGGGAGCTTTGTCACGATATGAGTGGATGACAAACCGTCAGTTAGGATGTTAAGATATTAGCCAGCACTCTCTTGTCTTATTTCATATTTCAAAGGATGGTGGTGTTATTGCCTTTGTTGAGACCCGATCTTCTTTGACTAAGCAGATTAGAGAGGACATTTGTATGATGAGTAGTTGTGTATTATTTGAGACAAGGTGTTGAAGGGTGAAGTTAAGAAAGTGACACTTGATTCTGAGGGAGTGGTGAGGATTGGAGGCATGATTTGTATGCCTACGATGGGAGAGTTGGTCAGACTGATCTTTGGGGAAGCACATTCTTCGAGGTACTCTATTCATCCAGAAGCGGCCAAGATTTACCATGATTAGTCAACATTAATGGTGGTGCGGTATGAAGAGGGACATTGTGGAGTTTATGGCTAGGTGCATGACTTGCCAACATGTCAAGTGTGAGCATTAGCGGCCTAATTGTGTGTCTCAGAGGATGTTCATTCCTACTTGAAAATGTGAGTGTATCACTATAAACTTCGTAGTGGGTTTGCCAATCACCATGGGTGGTTATGATTCAATTTGAATTATGCAATATAATGCACATTAGCATTTCAAACAATGACAAGTTACTACTGAAAAGCTAAACACAGCCCTGAAACTCAATTCCAAATTGATTGGCCATTTTTATTTATAACAAAACTAATTCGCATAAATATAATGTTAAACCATTCAACAAACTAAGAAAACAGTAAATTTAATAATTTTAAGGTCAATATATATGGATGAAAGAAAAAGATTTCACTGCAAATTATGAAATGCATTGTACTGCCAAAACTCCTAGAGAATAACTTTATTGAGGTCATTCATGCCCTTTGTCTACTCCACGAGTAGTTGTGACTCTAGAAAGCTTCTCGTCCTAGCAGAATAGAATACCAAATAATCTGCAACAGTTCAATCGTTACATTTGGAAATTTATAAAAATTGAAAGGAACACCACAACATTAAATATGAATATGAAAATGAAAAAGAATTCTAAGGAACTTTGGAAGCAACAAAAATATTGAATAGCCTGCAATAATTGTAGAAAATTAATTCTACTTATATCTATTTGTCTGATTGATTATTGTAAACAATATTATTATGAACAATATCGGTGTAAAAACTATAAAAAAAATAATCTATCATGTTATACTAAATTACTATTTGATATTAAATTAATTAGATATATTATAACATTTTAATTAGTTTAATGGTGAAATGTTAATTCAACTTTGCGCTTTAGAGTTTTCCACTTTCAGTATAATATACTAGTTCTCGAACATGCGTGTTGCATGTACATCTCATGCTAAATAGTAAGTATTTTAAAAGTTCAAGAATTTGAACTAATTTTTTTAGTGAAAATATAAATACAAATTTTTATAAAAAATCTAATTAAAGAAGTCTAATAGATAGAAAACACACAAAAAATATCACAGATATTCAGTTCAATAATAATAATTATATAAAAATCAAGGTAAAAGAATAAAAAAATTGCGCCCATTAAAATCCTTTATACATAGCTAACAAAGGATATTATAAACATATATTTTATTGTGCCCTATCAGAAAAGTAAAAACTCTTCCAAAAAGTCACAATCCTTCGAAAAAGTTATAATCCTTCGGTAAAAGGCAGATCTCTTCAATGTTAAAAGGTGTCTGTTTTTAATATAATATAGTATAAAATATATATTAAAATGAGTGTTTTTAGTTGCAGATATTATATTAATGTAACATTCAAGTTATGAATTTCATATTTTTAAAATTATATATATAAATATGTATAAATAGATAAATAGATAGATAGATATAATCTAAAGAGACTTGACTGTGCTGATGAGGTTTCCAATGAATCCATTAATGACTTACTATTCAATGAAAAGCACATCCTTTTTAATTTGGCATATGTTGATGACCTAGTGTTATGTACTAACCCTAGCAATAAGGTGCTCAAGGAAATCCCATGTATGAAAAAGGTAACTAGACAACTCCTCACCAAGGATTATTACCTTCCCGAATATATAGTTTGTAGTGTTAAGAGAGGCTGCTAGTTTTATTGAGCATAATTTTTTTATTATTTGAGAAAGAAAAATGGCAAATATTTTTGATAACTGAGTTATCAAGATTGTCAACAGAATTAATGGTTGAACAGAGAATCTTCTTTATACCCATTTATTAATGTACTGAGTTTACTTTAGAGAATAACCGAAAATCCTTTCTCTAAGAATGATTATTCTTTTTTTCGACTAGCCTTACTTTTCTTCATGAAAATAATGTATGCTAATTTATCTCCATTACATATAAGTAATGTTTTCCAAGGAAAAAAATAAAGAGGATAACTAAAAGGTTTACCTCATCTGTCAACCTTTGATTTTCTTCTTTCAAATTTTCTAAATTGCTTGCTCTTTCAGAATCACATTGTGGGCATATAATTTTCTTCATTGCCTCTTTCATTGCTATATTCTCACAACGGAATCTTTCATTTTCTGTCCGGAGAGTCTTGTTGTCTGATTTCTCAATTTGTGTCTGATGAAATATATATAACGAACATTTATCTCACACACATATATATGAACTAATTAAATGTAGAAAGAGAATGAAATTAATAGTTTCTAGGATAATAGCTTTTTTCTTCCCTAAAATATAAGTCCGTTTTGACTTTGCTCCTTCTGACATTTGAGGAATCACATTTAACTTTTAACTAATCAAAATATATATTTGTAGTCTTTTTATGTGAGATGTATGTCATATGAACTACTTTCAAAATTATTTTACCATCAAATATGAAGCAAAATAACACATGTAATTAAGTGATAGAGCGATCAATAATTACTAAATTTGTGATTAATCACAAGAAAAGGAATGAAAATGTACATTTAAATTAATTAAAGGTCTATGTGCTTAGTAGGCATTGCAAGTATCATAATTAGAACTAAATAATAATTGAAGGACCAAATGTTTTATTAAGCCTTTGTTATAAAATGTGTGAAAACTATTTTCTTCCTCCATCTTTGCTTAAAACTTCAAATCCTCGCTAATATTTTGAACAGTGTACATTTTCTTCCTCTTATGAAATATATATTTTTAAGGATCAATTTCTACATGGGTGAAAAAATAGTTTATGAAAATAGGCATATTTTCATGGGGATCACTTTTGGCGCAACTCAAGGTAGCATGTTAAAAAAATGTTGCATGATATAGATAAATTATAAAACTCAAATTATTCATAAATTTATTGGCTGATATAGATAAATTATAAAACTCAAATTATTCATTAGAGATCAAGTTAAAAGTATTTTTTAAGAAAATGTTTGAGATTTAAACATAGTCATAGTTAAATAAAAATCACTTTGCCTGGTAATGAAGAAAATAACAAGAAAAAATTAATAAAAATAAATTTTTGTTAGAGTTGGAAAATTGGGTTGTGATCCATTTTAAGCTCAAGTTAGTCCAAAAAACTAATAACCTTCTCATTTATTTATTCAAATCATTTTCACTAGCCTACACTTAGTTTAGTCACCACTTATGTTCCAAGATTTCTTTCATTCATCAAATAATTCAAAAAGAAAATCATTAGTTCTTAGTTATAAAATCAGATTTTCTTTGACTTTGAATTCTCAAAATCAAATAGAAATATAAATTTTTGTCCATTTATTAAGTCCTTGATAAATTATTGATCTCGTTAGGGATTTCATGTATTTCAAATAATTTTACATGATTTTATCATTGGTTCTAATGAGTTGTAGCTAAATCAAATTGGAGGCTGAATGAAAATACTTAAACTTCTTTAATAAAATTCATTTATTAACGAGGCAAGGGCCTTTCTTCAAAATCTATTGATCAATTCAACAAGACAAAATACATACCTGATTTAGGAAATCTATATTGAAATTAAAAAGTGAAATCGTCAATAATAGAATTGATAGTACATAAACGGAAAAAAATTGAAACGAAAGAAGAAATAAGTGTATCAATTAATAGAAGAGGACAATTTTTGTATCTAATCACACATTCAGAAAACTACCAAATATAGATAAGCAATTTTGGGGCCTAACGTAATAGATTCACTAATTTGTTATGGAGGTAACCCTACTTTTAACTAGTCATTTGTTTATTAGATTCTTGCATAATCTAATGAAAATATAAATTATTATTGGTCATATTGTGTAAAATTAAAATAATAATAATAATAATAATAATAACAATAATAATAATATCAATATTAACAACAACAATAACAATTAAAAATAAATAATAATAATAATAATAGTATTATATAATAAGACACTAATTAACTATAATTAAATTAATAGAAAAATGACTAATTAATTAAAATACCTTTGTTGTAGTCTTGTTGTTATAAATCCAAGTCTTGATCTTCTTAGGGTTAAGCCCTACTTCCTTACCAATTTGAATTAGTTGGTCCTTATCTGGATGTGGACATTTCTTCAAGAATCTTCATTTCAAATTCAACCAAAAACACACCATTAATAACCATTTTTTAAAGAAATATAAAGCCTAAAAATAGAAAAAACGAAAGGCCTCATGTTCGTGTCCTACCTTTTTCAGGCAAAATTTGATTAGTGAAACTTTTCAATGAGAATTTAAATTTGTTGAGCTCCAACAAAGGTATCAAACACCAACCATGAGTAAGAGATTATTGTTTTGTTGCAAAAAGGATAAATACATTAAAATTAAATAAACTCATAGCCTTATGCTAAAGTTATTAATGAAGAACAAATTGATTCATTTATGAAAAATGCATATATATGGTATAACAACTAGGAAAACAATCTATTTTTAACCAGTTTAGCAACTCAATTTAGAAAAATTGATTAGCAAAATAAAACATATAGATTTTTTACTAAATAATAATGGACTTATTAAATAACAAAGGTAAAAAGTAACACAATAAATCAAATGAGAATTAAACATAAACTAATTCACAAAAAAGTACATATAAAAAGATAAATTATTATATGGATAGTAAATTTTGATTATATCATTTTGAAAAACAACATAATTGTTTTAAACAAGCAACACAAAAAATTAAACATATATTAAGATTCAATTTCTTTTTCTTTTTTTGTAAATAAAATTGATCTTACTCTTTAAGATGTTGAACTTGTTCCACAGTGTGTCGAAAGCATTTGCTTTGCTTGTTTGCTTTTTTTTGAGAGGTTGATGAATCTCCCACATGTTTCTTTTGTGAATTTGTCATTTTCTTTGGTAAATTCCTGTTCGATAAAATAAAATAACAAAAGAACACAAAAAATCAATTAATAATATGTTTGATTTGTTGTTTACCCAATCAATTTATATAAGAAACAACTAAGATAAATCAAAGAGAAAAGAAATATATAAGAAGGATTTTTACCAACCTTTTGATTGATGAATAGAGATCGAGAGATATGTTATAACTTGATAGAAAGTGGTCTATTTATATAATAGAAATCAACTTGACTTGACATGAATTATGATCTGTTTTGTTTTCTTTTAAAAAAATAATAATAATAATTTGGACTTAGAATATATGGCTTGCTATTTAATTTTGTCTATACAAGGTGCATCATAGGTCAAATTTCATAAATGGAAAAATACTATGACTTTTTTCTTTAAAAGTCACATAATTATGTTTTTTAATAGAAAAATCTTATCTTTTTTTATCCTATTATGATGTCCTAACATGGAAATAATTTTACTAATTATTCTAAGTGATTCTTTCAATTAACTTATTTATTTAATTAGTGTGCTTACATTAGAACTATGACAAGAAGCTCCATGTCATGTTTAATAATCTGTTTGACCAATCTTTTAAGACTAACTTATTTTGAAATATAACTTTTTCCAAAAGTGTTTTACAAAACTATTTTTGATAAGAAGTAGTTTATGTCTGACTAATAAAATTAAAAATCATATTTGAGAAATAAATAGTATTTGAACAAACTTTTTTAAAGTGTTTTTAATTTAAGTGTATTTTTCTTATTTTTTTTTTTAAAAAAAAAAAAGTCCTTTAAGGAAAAATAATAATTTAGCTTTGAAAGAGTAGTTTTTCATGTTTCGTGTTTCTTTCTTGAGCTTATGATGTCAAGTTCATTAGTCTTTTAGAGATGAACAAAAGTTATATTGAAAAATATACAAACCAATTATGATTTATATATATATATATATTTGTTCTCGAAAATGTATGTTGCATGTGTATTTCACGCTTAAAAATATAAATATTTTAAATATTAAAGTATTTGATTTAAATTTTTAGTTGTCATATGAAAATGTGAAGATAATGACTACATTTTAGTTTTTAAAATTGTTTGTCCGTACGTTAATTTTTATTTTATAAGGTACATAATAGATGATGTTCTTGTTGTTGGTTCTCATATTTAACTTCTGATCGAATGTCTACATAAATCAAAGATAGTTATTTAATGTCACGACTCGAGCCTACACCCTGAACGCGGCCGACACTCAAGAACCATTGCTGGTCCCCAAGCGATCCCTCATCCTAGCTGACTAAAAGTAAAAGACTAACTTGAGCATACATAAGAATCAAATTGAAAAAAACGTTTCACTGAATATACTGATAATGAAACATAAGTTTTAAATAAAATATTTGAAACTGAAAGACTCTCCAAAACTACCTATCTATAAAGCCTCTACTATATATAGACGAGTGTCGAGACAAGACCCACAACTACTAAAAATTCTACTTATACCAAAAACTCATAAAACTGGAGTCCTTCGGAAGCAAAGAGACCTCACTCGAGAACCATTGGTGGCCCCAAGTGAACCCTTGGCCTGGCTAGACTCTCAACGGAAGAGTTTACGCATTAATAAAGATATCAAAAGCACTTAAATCAACTGACTCAAAATAATTTAGAATGTTTTAGAAATAAACATTCAACTTAGCCAGAGTGGCAAACCAAGTCTGAACATAAACAACTGAAAATGGAAAGACTAGAGAACTATAACTATCCGTCTATGAAGCCTCTAAAAATAATGAGGGATGTCGGGACAAGACATCCGATCATCCTAACAACTGAAATACTAAACAATGAAAAAGGGATCCTCCAAAAAGAAAGAAGGCTCACCAACTGAATTTGAGTGCTCAACTGGATCAACGGGGCGCTGGATGTTGATCTTGGTTACCTGTATCTGCATCATAAAATGATGCAGGCCAAAATGCATCAGTACATTGAATGTACGAGCATGCGAGGGAAATACTAAAAATGACATAAGATTGAAATGAATTCTGAAAGAACATTTGCCTCAGTTTTACTCAACTCATGGATACTCAACTCAAATGCAGAATTAAACAACAGTAAAGGTACAGTTTATATAAAACATTTACAATAGTAAGAAACAACTCAATATACATATATAATAAAGTAATATAACTCTATGGGAGTTTCTCTAACCAACAACCATCACTATGAGCTATGTGATCATACAACGTCTCGCCCACGCTACCAGAACTGTCCTATAACTTGTCAGGATATAGAACGCGTCAACTAAGTGGATCCACTAGTCTATGCTAAAAAGTACTAAGGAATCGTTTAAAAAGTATGACCCTTTCTACCCACGATGGCTACATGATTTATGGAGACTTGAGTTATTATGAACTCGTCCCCTTATTGGTGCTCAATACTACTCCCAAAATATACTCAGCTCATATGGTTTTAAACAAAACTCTTTCTGTGATTTGAGGTAATTACTCAAAAAAACTTATCTCTTAAAAGAGATGGAACTCAAAACTACTCATGAAAACTTATTTGGAAATCAGTGTTTCCTCTTATCTTATTTGTGAAAACATTTGTTCTTTGGGATTACTTAGTTTTCATATATAATTAAAAGAAATGAACTTTGCTCTACTCTTTCTCGAACTCAAGGCTTAAGTCTTTAAAACAAGTTTAAAACGATTGCATAAGCCTTTTTGAACACTCTAAGAACTCTCTTGACTTGACTCTTATCTTTACCTAGAATTTGATTTGTAGATTCAAGGGTCATGATCTCGTGTGATAGACAACATCATGATGTTTAGACGTACCTTAGAGTGTAGAAATAAACTAGGAAACATAAGTAAGATTCAAGGAAACTCAAACGGAAAGAAGTGGTAAAGGGTAGAACACCCGGTGTCCCAGAGGGAAAACTTCAGAAGTTGGGTTAGGGCGCATCGGTTGGAGCGGCGCCCCAGAGCCCAAACTACAGAAGTTAATTTTGGGCGCTCTGAGTGGCGCGGCGCCCCAGCCCCCTCCCCAGGTTTCTGACGAATTTTCTTGCTCATTTTTCAACTTTAAACTAGCTAGATTCGAATGGTTCCTTCCCCAAACGATTAGATTCGAATACATAACCAAAATATGCAAGAATCAACTCAAAACAACATCAAATTTCGTGAATTTAACTCAAGAACTTCTCAACAACTTCAACAATCAAGAACCAAGTAGAAACATCAACAAAATCTATCAAGAACTCTATTTATATACCTTCAAGAACACAAATTCGTGGAGTTAAATCATGATTGGCGCGTGGATGAACTAACTCAATGCTATGTGATCTCACCTACCTTGTAGGGATCAACCCTTGGAAAAATCGACGAGATTAAGTTGAAGAACGCGACAAATCCTTGCTTCTTCTCCTCCTTTCTCCTCTTCTTTTCTCTTCTCTCAAAATCCTAACTTAATTTTGTAAAGCGTAAACCGAATCCTATCAGTTTAGACCCCAACTTAATTACCAAAAATGAATTTAATTAATTGGGTAGTGAAAGACCATAATACCCTTCAAAAATCCCATTTTGACTTTCCTTATCTAGATAGCTCAATTTTGAATGGACATATCTCTCTCATGCGGACTCGAAATTGAGCAAATTTGGCAGCGTTATGGGAGTCTTTTTTTCCTCCGCGATAGTGTAATACCAAGACCAGTAAGAGAGAATGGACTTCATCCATTCGGACAAAACCCATGCCCCCCTAACCAGTCGTACTCTGACCAGGCTTCGAAAAACATTGAGATCACCGAGTTTCTCGGGAATCGATGATGCATATTGAACTTCAACCAATCTCACTTGCTCAAGAACTGCCTTCTGATAGACTAGCTTCCCCCGGGCTACCATCCTTGCAGCTAAAGAGACCATATCATCATGCCTAAAGGGACCGATAGAAGAAGTCTAAATGTAGTATATAGTAGTAGAGTGACCGTCTTCTTTATTTTTTGAATTCTAGGAAAGATAATTCAATGATATTTCATACGGTATTTGGTAGAACACCTAAATCATCCCGAGCTAAGAGTTATGGTCATTTGAAGTTGACCCAAAACTCATACTTAACTTAACTTTGCCAAACTTTCCAAATTTTATTATTCCCAACAACGGTTTCTTCCAAATTCTAGTTCTTTCAAATAGCGAGGTGTTACAATATCTCCCCCTTGGGAACATTCGTCCTTGAATGAGATTACTCTTACTAGGCTAAGGGTGTAACATCTAATATTCAGTTCAAACACCCAACAAGCAAATCTAACACATTAAGTATATCAATTTAAAGATTACTAAGAAGAGAATTAGTACCTTGATATGTAATTTCTCCAGGCTCAAAGAGATGTGGATATCTCTTCTTCATATCCTCCTAAGCTTCCCAAGTGGCTTCCTCAACAAAATAATTTCTCCAGAGAACTTTGACTGAGGCTACTTCCTTGGTCCGTAACTTGCAAACCTGACGGTCTAGAATTTGAACATGAATCTCCTCATAAGACAAACTGAAACGACCCCAAAAATGCCCGAAAATGTGCTTCGAAAACACCTATAATTGTAATTTCGTTATATCTCAAAATTCGTGCATGATTTCGGAAATTCGACATCATATTCTTATTCAGGGGGTCAAATTGAGTGGGAAATGGGTCTAACCCAAATTTTAGAGCAAACATATCAAAAATCGAAAATCGCAAAAAATGCGATTTAGGGTCAACTTTAAAGGGGCATATATCTTAGCACACAAGAAACTGGAAGGGACATCACCTATTAAATTAAAGCTCTTTGAGTTAGCTTCACAACGCACTTGGTTTCACCTTATTCC